GTTCGTCACTCCAGCGATTCAAGTTATCTACCCACAAGGGAGTGGGACCTATAAAAGCTGGTCGAGGGTTGTTGTTCGGGGCTTGACCTACTGGAGGTAGGTTGTTGACTTCAGGCTCAGAGTCTGATCCATCTGAGAAGCCTTCAGCTTGATGATCATCCAACGGGATTGGGTGTTCATCGTCAGACTCTGCTTCGAGCCATCCTGCGTTGCCTTCATTTGGAAAGTACGAGTCGCCGTGATGGAATCCAGCCAATTAAATCTACTTGAGAAGAGAGGTATAAAGATATAGTATACAAGTAGTTGGTAGTACAAAATACACCTATAGTATTTTAAGTTTAGGTTCTATTGATCTTCTTGTGGTATTGTTGGTAAGTTTTTAGACTTGTTAACACATCACAACCATTCTAGGGCATATGCTAATCACTCCTCGGACCAGCATAGTTGATCAGGCTATGACATTCCCAGTACTGACCATATATCCCCGAGTTTACCTGTGATATTTAACAATCGTAATACTTTTGTTCTTGTCGTTGTGACACTGGTTTTGGTATGAATGTAGACTAGTATACTTAATTAAATATTTTAGTATTTTAAGTATAGACTCTTGGTCAGAGTGTTTTAATCCCAAATGGGTTTATAGTTTAGTATATCTTTTATAGGTTGATATACTTGATTCACTATAAACAATGCTCTGATACCAATCTGTCACACCCCAAAACCAAGAACGGCGGAAACATTCTGGGGCGGAGGACGTCATGTAAGTATCACAACACAGTAAATGTAAATATGCAAACAACATCATCCATTGCATTAAATATATAATTTTAATACAAGCGTGTTCTGTACAGTATAGACACCAAAAATTACGTATATCAAAATAATAAGATGAGTCTTGAATGCGCTCCATCTTCTCAAAAGCTGGCATCGGTACCTGTCTACTGATGACCTGAGAATACAAGTTATTTTGAAAGAGTTTATCAGCATTAAGCTGGTGAGTTCATAAGTATTTTAGTGTCGGTATTTGTCATCCAAAAATGTTTGTACATGTGAAAAGTATAAGTTTGTAAAATGTATGTAAAGGTTTGCAATTGTTTGTAAAAGTTTGAATCTCTTAGAAAAACCTATATTTTCTATTAAAGTAGCCTTCTACCAAGGCTTAAATGTTTTGTATGCTCGTTTGATGTAAAAGTGTGTAATTTCCCAAATGTAACTATCATTTAACAAAATATAGTTTGTACATAAACGTTTAAGTGAGGTTATCACTAAAATATGTAATGGGTAAATTATTGTAGTACTGTAGCCTTGTATTATAAGAACTACTGTTGTACTAACTACCTTAAACCGGATTTATATTAAGGCATTACGTGATAAATTGCACCATACTATCGACAAGTAACAACGACATAATGAATGGTCGTAATAATGGAATGACGTTTGGCACCCGCAGACCTGCAGGTCCGGCTGTAGCTAGCAGCAAGGTGTAGGATTGTCAATCCAGTATAGATCTATACGCAAACTCACGCTCTCCCTTCAAGAGAATTCTGGCTACAACTCGATCCATGACAGTTAAGTCATGCTCCGATTTAAATCACAATAATAAAGTATTCATGTATATGTACTGTTCTCGTTCTAGTATAGTTGTATATGTATTGTTTCTAGCATCATTGTATATATGTATTGTTTCTAGCATCATTGTATATGTATTGTTTCTAGTATATGTATATGTATTGTTTCTAGCATCATTTATATGTATTGTTTCTAGTATATGTATATGTATTGTTTCTAGCATATTGTATATGTATTGTTTCTAGTATATGTATTGTTTCTAGTATATGTATATGTATTGTGTTACCCCGATGGTAACTAACTATTGATGTACTGATAAATATGAATATCGAGTACTTTTATGCCTATACATGTATATATGATATATAACTAATGTTGAAACGACCTTCGGATGGTCACCCGAAATCCCACCAGACCACATCTCAGTGCTCGAAAAGGAAATAGGGCGGATGGCCTTCCTAAGCCCTTTAAAAGTACTTATATATATTATATATATAATATATATATTATATATATATAATTATATATACATATATGGGCATGCAATTTATAAGAAATAAAACAAAGTTTAATAAAAGCATTTGATAAGTAAAAAGAGTTTGTAAAACATTTGAAGTGAAACAGTTTGATAAACAGTTGAACAGTGATAAAATCATTGGTTTTCTAGTTATTAATCACATGTGATTAATGCAATCACATGTGATTGATGTAATAACTATAAGTATTTGACTTGTATTCCCCCCCCCCCCCATAAAGTATTTAAAACATTTAAAAGTATTTCAAAGGTTGATTAAAGGGGTATAAACTCACTTGTGGTGAGTAGATTGAATTGATGTATCGGGTACCATGCTAAGTGTCAATCGGAGACTTGTTCACACGTTTGAGCCTAGTTATCATATAATAAGCATATGTATAACTAATTAGCCACATAATAACTTAACAAAGTAAGTTAACACAATTAGGAACATGTATACACCTTGTATAAGTGTTATAGGTCCTAATGGTTGCATCTAAGTTGATACGGGACAAGGCAAAAGGGTTTGAAACATCAAATGGCCTTGCATAAGAGTTCACCACCCAACAAACCCCACCCTTTGGAGTTTACGGCCGTAAACTCATGGGTTTATGGCGTGAACTCCTCATATGGTGGTTTTGGATGTTTTAAAGTGTTATCTTGATCCAAGAACACTTCTAGCTTTGTTGGAATAACACATGAAGTAGTTTAAGGCCCTAGAATGCTCCATAGGGGAGTTTACGGCCTATAGTCCATATACCCTAGAGTTTACGGCCGTAAACTCCTATGGGTGATGGCTTTTAATTCATTTGAGGTACTTGCACATCAAGGATGGCTTCCATGATTTTATCTAAGGCTAATGGGGACAAGATGCACACATTTAGGTCATCACTTGGAGTTTACGGCCCAAGATATGTTCCTTGGCCGTAAACTCCTTTTAAGAGTGATTATGAAGTCCTTTGATCCCCATTCAAGTCCCATGTGTTCAAGGTAAATTGTCTTAAGGCCTTAGGGGTGTTTGTGGTGCATTTCACCCTTAGAAAAGGGGTTTACGGCCCAAGATCCTTCCTTGGCCGTAAACTCCTATAATTCTATCATTTTGAAGTGTTTTGAAGTCCAAATAAGCACAAGTATTAGTGGTTAAAGTCCTTAGGCTCAAGGAGGCAAGTTAGGGCATTTATGTCCCTTAAAAAGGGGTTTACGGCCCAAGAAGTTCCTTGGCCGTAAACTCCTCTAACTTGTTGATTTTGGATGCTTTCTAGTCTCTAAAGATCATACACAAGGTCCTTTACACGTTGTCTATCGAGGGAATGGGACTAGGAAGCCTTAAAGTTCCATTTTGGAGTTTACTCCCCAAGAACGTTCTTGGGCGGTAAACTCATGGATCTTGTATTTTTGACATGTAATTAATGTTATAAAGCATATAACAAGTATTAAAACACGTTTAGGAAAGTAGACTCACAATCCGGGATGAAAACCCGAAGATCCGTCAGAGAGAATTGGCTTTTCTCTAGTTGGAATTGTGAATAATGAATTAATTAAATTCAGAAATCTATTTATAGTCCTGGAATATTTTGACAGAAAATATTTTTATTCCGAAAGTCGGACTATAACATTGTGAAACTTAAAATGTTCAAGTTTCACAATTACAGGAGCATCCACTCTCCTGATACGTCCAGAAACGTAAACCCTAATGTACACAAACTTGTTCGGACAAGTCTGAAATTTACAGAAACTGGACTAGCTTCTATTAATAGATAATGTTCGTACAATGGAAATTTCGGGTTGTCACAGTAACTCACCTTGAAAGTAGCTGTTGAAGTCTGCTTGCTGAGCGTCTGACTGCTGGATCGCAAATCCTCCGGCTATAAACCATAAACATAGGTTATAAATACCCTTAGGTCAAAAGACTGACCCTCACTTGGCCCAAGGTCAACTCCTTGGTCAAAGTCAATGTCCATTTGACTGGACTCGCCGAGTCATGGCATGGACTCGCCGAGTCCTTTTCCTACTAACCCGGTCCTACTCAACCAGTCCTTCTTCCCACTCACTGAATCACCCTTAACTCATGACTTGGGACGATTGAACCGACTCGTGACCCGACTCGCCAGTTTGAAGAACAACTCGTCGAGTTCCAGATAATCTTCATAGGACTCGCCGAGTTGTTCATCCAACTCGTCGAGTCTAAGGCCATCTTCATGGAACTCGCCGAGTTCTCCTTGGGACTCGCCGAGTCCCTATGACCCGTTTCCCATACAGACCAATTCTGAAACATGCAACGCTTCCATACCATAGATCCATGTTCCTGGAGCATGCTTATCACGTAAAGTTGCAAACTTTATGTACATGCATGGCCCTATAAGCTCAAAAGGCCAAAACCAAACTCTTCAAGAGGTCATAGACTCAATGGGGACCTCAATCACTTCAACCACAGGAACTTTATGCTACTGATTCATCCAATAAGTCCATATCTGAATTCCTTTCGGATCATTAAGCACCGCACATGGAGTTTGGTGTTTTAGGGCTTGAAACCACCAATTTGGGATAAAAATGGTAACTAATGATCTAAAGATCAAGGTAGAGACTTTTCTACCTGAATGGAAGCTTCTCCCTGAGTAGAGTTCGGATCTACTTTCCTTTCACTCTTCAACCACCTCTTTCTTCTTCTAAGCTCCAACCTCCTTCACAAGGCCAAAAACTCTTAAGAACAATATGGGGGCTAGGGTCTCGCTCTACTGCTCTCTGGAAGTGTTAGGGACAAAGGAGGCCAAGATAGAGTGTTTAAAATAGGGTGCAAACACCCAGATTAGGGTTTTTCCCAA